TAAACCTCTTCTAAGAAGTGATGTCGTAGGGACAGCACTAAGGGACTCGAGCACAAGACAGTATAATCTGTATTTCCCTTATCCTTAAAGACACTCTGATTACATCATTTAAAAATATTAACAATGGAGGTATTTTATGTTGTATAAAAGTCTTATCATTTTACTTTTAGTGAAAATTTGTATTACAGTAAACCATTGAGCATCCCATGTACATGGATATTTCTTACATTTTTAAGGTAATTTATTCCAGGTGAATATGGGGAGAAGCAGAGAACCTTATGAATCTTCTCTCCTGTTTCTCTTTGCTTTTGCTCTCTCTTAACACTTCTGCCTAAAGTGATGAATTACAAGGCAAAGGAGTAACATTTGGAGATGAAGATAGATAATGGGGAGGGAGGTACAAAGGTCATGGCTTAAAGCAGTGGGGACATACTGTCCTTTACGAGGCAGGATCCCCCAAAAACCACATTTATCTTCTGGAGCAGGGCCCTAGTAGTACAGGCTTCCCCCACCAGGGGAGTGTTCAGGAACCCATCTGTATCAGTGTACCAGCTGGCATGGTTGTGAGAGGCTGCGTTCAGCTTCAGGGAATTTTTTTCTATCAACACGTTTGCCCTTTCATGATGGGTGATTTACCAGTGTACCTCCCACACCAGGCTGAATGTTCAGCAGTTTTTGACCAAAAATGGCATGACCCCCATGCCCCACCCTCCCTATTCACCCGATCTCACCCCAAGAAATTTTTCTTTTGTTTTCCTGGATGAAAAAGTCCTCAAAGGGAAACATCTTGCCAACATGGAAGAGGAGAAAAAATGGCAGAAGTACTAAAAGGCATCAAAACCAAGGAGTTTAAAAACTGTCTTGAGCACTGGAAAAAACATCTTGACAGGTGTGTTGCACCAAAGAGGGAGCACTCTGAGAGGGGCTGAGGTTTAAACATGCAACAATAAATGCACGTTTTTTTTATAAAGTTCTGTTTTGGGGTCCCCCCTTGTTTATCTCTAGAGTATTTAAGAGGGGCCCACTTTGCCTTCCCCGAATCCTCACCCGGTTAGACTTAGGATGTCAGCAGGTCAAGTCTGTCTCCGTCCAGTGGTGGAAAGGACAGGCTGGTGCTTTTAAACGAAACAAAGGAGGGTGAACTGGTGATGTGGAGACTGAAGACTGTGTCTTAACTCTGTTACTGAGCTGTTCAGACCTTAGGATGCAATTGCATTTGCAACCTGCAGAATCAATAGCACAGAATGAATACGTTACAGGGCAGAAAGATGAGTAGGAAAAGGAAAAAGAATTGCATTTTAGTTTTTATCACCATTTTTAGTGTGTTCTAAGGATTCATCCTGCATAGGAATAACATGAATAAGAAATTACTTTAACTCAACTCACTGAAAGGAAAACTACTGGGAAGATGAAACCCCTCTCTCTTTCTCAAACTCCCTTTCTCACAGGTGACGTATATACGATACGTTTCTGCCAGTTTCCCATTGGTAAGTGATCAGCCCTTTCCTCCTCCCTCGAGGAAGGACAAATATAACCTTGAGGAACGTGTCTTTAAATAGGTTTTGGAAGGGGGTGGGCCGGAATACGGATGAGGGTAACACAGAGTCGTTCTTACTCTTGCCCAAAATAGAGGCCGAACAGACCTGATTTCCGTAGGTACGCGCAGGGGAAATGAAAGCCGGCCACTCGCTCTGCACGACCGTGAGTGCCCAAACGCAGCACTGGCTGGAGGGGCCGTGGCGGCCCCGAGGCTGTTGTCCCACAACCAAGCCCCCCTCCCAAGGCCGAGTCTCACTAAGAGCACTGATCTCCCCGGGTTCTGATTTCACATGCAAAGTCATCGTGAGCAAGGAGGTAAAAGAGTACTTGGGCCCGGAAAAATTCGCAACACGTTTGGTCCCCTGGGAAAGGTGTGAACGTCTCTTTAAGAATCTAATTTACTCTCGGCGATATCTGTTCTGGGGAGAGCCGAGAACTTTTTCATCTGTAAACTGTCATAACTGTCAAGAACTATGAAGGGTCTGAGATTTCACAGTGTTTGCAAGCTAATAAGTTAGTTCAGTTTCATGGATGCTGGCGGAAGGTATGAAAGTCCCGGACCAGGGACAAAGGACAGGTTATCACTCATGGCAGTAGCAGTAGCCAGTGTCACCTCCTGTCCCAGTTCCCTAAGCCTGCATTCCTCGTCCTGACAAGAGCGGGCCAGACGATACCTGCCTGTGCCGTGGGCTGCATCCCGACGGAGGAACTCCGAGCTTAGATAACGAATCTCCTCTAATGATAGGAAGCCTGCCTGGCCTTTGCCCCAGCGGGAGCATCGTGGATGTGCCACGCACGGGACAGTGAACCAGCCTGCTCTTTGCCCCAGAGACAGGCGCCACCTCTGCCTTCCGAGGCCGTCTGCCACCCAAACACCTTTGAAGACATTTCCCAGAACAAAGGCAGCTTCTTCTCTGCCGTGCTCCTCACAAGATGGGCATACATGTGAGACACGCATGGAAAACTGTCCTCCAACGATAATATATTTTGGTCCCCATTTTCTCAAGACCAACACCATACAGAAAGCCTCCCTTTGTCCACTCTCCTCGGGCTGGCAGCCTTCCTTGACGTCGGTGTGGGCAGAACCCTTTGCCCTAGGATTTTAGGGCAAAGAAGTGTGCTTAGAAGAAGGGAAGGAGGGAAGAGAGAGACAGTGTGGAGACAGGAAAGCCACAGACAAAGGCTGGGAGGTGGGGAAGTGCCCAGAATGTCAGGCAATGAGTGAAAAGTTCAGGGTGACCAAGGGTAGGCTGTGCATTGGGGGAGGGTGGGCAGAAGAATGAGTTCAGACCACGTAGGGCTGAGCAGGTCAAGTTTGGAATTTAACCTGAGAGCCCTGGGAAGCTGACCTGGACACCGGCCTACAGTGTTCGCAGTGTTATGGATGAGACATGAGACAAATTCACACGGACTACTGAGTCCTGTGGAGGAAAAGAGACGGCACGGCTACTCCCTCAAGAGGGGGGGGAGCCTCAGAACAGCCTGGCCACTCTCTCGAGGGGAGAGAGTGCTGACCCTTGTCTTGACAGGGTTTTATTGGGTTTCAATTAGCACAGGAATACAGGTAAAGTTCGTTAATCATGGTCAGGCAATAAGGATCAAACAATAGATAACATACAAAGAACTCTGAGGGTTTATTTTGAATCAGGGTCTGTTAGCTAAAGGGCTCAAAACTTTGGGAAACAAACTCATTTCCTGCTCAGACCTTTATCATTTAATTGAGAGCATTCTTAGCAAAGCAGGTTTCACAGGAGTTTATGTATTCTTTCTTAGACCTGATCTCCTGGGGAGCCCGCCCTTTCTAGCACAGGGCTGCACCACCCTCTGTCATTGTTTCAGGCTTAAGTCAGGCAGGGGAAGTAAGGCAGCCAAGAGATTAGGAGACTTCTTGCAGACAGAATGAGGACCCAGGCTATGTCAAAGCTGAGGGGTGAGGATCCATCACCCCCTTTCTCCACAGCCCCCCAAGTCCTTCCCTGGGGTCTCCACATGATCGTGCCTGTCTTAGGTCGTTCCCCCCTTGGGGCATCTTACCCGTCATTGGCTAACCCATCAAGCACTGGAGGACAGTTATGGATAAAGTAAAAGGAGCAGAAGCGGCACTCCTGCCAGGAAGATAAGCTTTGTCTCCTTAGTGGCATATGGTCTCAAGGTCACTCATTCAGCCTTTGCCATGGTGGCCGTTACAGCTCCTGAACCAGGCAGGGCAGTTCCCAACAGGAAGCCCCCAGAGACTTTCACAGACCTGCTGCAACAAGGTGTCTGTAGAAGCCTGGAGGGTGAAAGGGCCTGGAGAGGAGGGCGGGAGACAACGGGGTGGGGGCAGGAGTGGGGGCCTGCACGCTGGCACAGCCCCGCTTTAGAGATACTCCAGAGGGGGACCGAGGGGCTGGGCACTCCGCCTCCATTCTATCTGCCCGATGGGAGACGCGCTCCCAACTGTAAGGAACTACGTGGTATTAATATTTACTTCTTTTCTGTGTCGGGTGTATAAGTAAACATTGCTTCCTTCAACATTACAGATTTATTATGTTCTCTGAAAAACACAATATTTTATTTAACTTCTGAGAACTAAATTCCAAATACCCTTCCTTACGTGTGTTTTTTGCTTAAACTTGGGAAGAATTGCTCCCCAATGAGACATGGTAAAATTGGATACAATTAAGAATGAATAACTCATTTTATCTCATCATAGCATGTCTGGTGTTTTTGTAGTCCTTCCAAGCTGGACGTGCTGGAAAGCTGCCTCCTGGAGGCCACAGGTACTTGGAGAAGCCGCTGGCCCAGGACCAGCGGAGCCTTCTCCCCAGCTACCTCCTCGGGTCATTTACCACATCTCTCTAGGCCTCCGTTCAATTATTTCTGAATCGACGGATAAATTCCTTGGTCCCTGAGACTCTTTCTGAAGGTGATTCTATGAGCCTTTCCCCTATAAGAAATACTGCTCTTGAATTTTAAAACACTTTTTGTTTTGGGTTTTTTTTTTTAATGACTTTAAATTTTGCTGGAAAATATTCCTTGGAAAGTATATAAAGCCTGTTAGATGGTTTTAAGATTCTTTTTTATTTTTTAATCCCAGAGCATGATGCACATGTAAAACGTTCGAATTCCCAGGGTACCAAGGCCTCAGGCACGGGCGCTGGAACCTCCGTGGGTTCAGCCAAGCCTCACAGAGAGGAACAGGAGAAAGGGCGGCTTGGCAGCTGCTGGGGTAAACAGGCCTGCAGGAAAATGAACTATGAGCCAGCCAGTTTCTCTTTTTCTTGCTTAGGAAACTTGTGCCCACAGGGAAGGGCTGTGGAGCCTCTGCAAGAGCGATGGCCCAGTGCGGAGGGGGTGTCTCCTGCCTCCCCACCTGCTGGACCGAGTCCTCCCGGGCCGGCAGTGTCTGCGAAGCGCTCGGCCCCCTCCCCCTCCCTCGCCTCCTCGCCTAGTCCCGCTGCCGTCCTAGCAAGTGATGTTGTCGGAGCAGGCGCGGGCCGCGGAGCAGGCAGCGCCCGCGCTCCGCTCGGCCGCGGGCCGACTCATCGCAGTCGCAGCCGCTGTGGGCTGGAGGGTGGGCGGCGGAGCGGCGGCTTCGGCTACGGTCTCCAAGGGCCGGGTGTCGGCCACGCCGCGGGGTCCTCCTCGCCCCCCGCCCGGGGCTGCGCTCGGGCGCCCGGGCCGCAGGGGCCGCGGGAGGCGGGCCGGGGGCGCGGCGGGGAGACGGCGCGGCGGAGGCCCGCGGGAGGCATCTCTGCGCTCGGACCGTGGCCGGCGTGATGTCCACCAAGGTCAGGAAGTGCAAGGAGCAGGCGAGGGTGACCTTCCCCGCACCCGAGGAAGAGGAGGAGGAGGGCGAGGACGTGGACGCCGAGCCGCAGCGCCGCCCGCGGGGCTGGAGGGGCGTCAACGGGGGGCTGGAGCCGCGCTCGGCGCCCTGGCCGCGGGAACCGCTCGGCCACCGCCCGCCGCCCTGGTCTCCGGGGCCGGACATGTGAGTACCGGCGGCTGCAGCCCGAGAGGGAGGCGCCCCCGCCGCCCCGCGACGTGCCCGGGACCCCAGACCCAATCCTGTCCGATTCTGGGACCGCGCCCTGGGTCTTGTGCGGCGTGGAACCGCCCCGGGAGCGGACGCCGCGCGTGGACACTCCAGCCCTTGGACACTTCCCTCCTACAGCCACGGACATCGCGCGACGGCCCGCGGGCTGGGAACCCCTGGGAGAATGGCCCCGGGGTGCCCGCGCCCCCCGGGGGGGTTCAAGGAAGGCACAGTGCGCCCGCCGCGGGCACGCGCGCTGCCCCGACTCGTGCCCGCGTCCCGGCGCGGAGCTACCCCGGGAACGTGGGTCCCCGCGGCCGCACGGGGCCGTCGGGGCGCGGGGAGGGGCCGTGCGCCACGCGGACGCGGTGGACGGTGCGCCGGGTCGCCTGGGTTGCCGACGGCCCGGTCACAGGGAAGTCCGGGTCCCGAGCCCCAGCGGGTCCCCCGGGAGAGAGCGGCGCGGGAACCGCTTCGCCGGTGACCTGGCTGCAGTCCCCGGGCGGCTCGGGGTCGGCAGCTGTGTCTTTTTTAAGGGAAGGTCGAGGTCGGCGCTCGGGTCTGTCCGAAGCAGCAACTTTGCTGCATTCCCAGACCCGCGAGACGCAGAGAGGATGGGAGAGAGGGCGACTCGTTTCGCAGGGCGCGGGCTCTCGGCTTCTCTAGTCGCGTGCCTGGGGCGGTGTGCGGGCTTTACTGTCTGTTTTAGGGGGGCGCGCACGTCTAGGTGGGACCCTGCGGTCGGACCAGGCTGCCACCTGGGCCCGGGGAGGTGGCTCTGCAGCGCCCCCTGCTGCCGCGCCATCCAGGACGCGGGGGCCGCCCCGGACACACAGACCCTGGGAACAGGCCTCAGAGGCTGGGAGTAGAAGGCGCAGGGCAGGGTCCTGCTGGAACGTGAGCGGCGCGTCCCGTGATTGTGTTCAGTTATTGCTGAAGATCGGCCTGGAGTGGAAGTGGCCCAGCCGATGGGGGGAAGTAAGGGGATCCCCGGGGAATAAAGCACCACCAGCTCACCTCCCTGCCTCCCTGGGGTTTTAAGACATGCTCCATTTTTTTTGTCTTTCGTCGATTAGGTTTTTGGAACGCTGCTCAATTTCTTGATTCTTTAACATTTTTTTTCTTACACCTTAAATTCACACTAAATCGGACACCAGAGCGCTCTTAGCTGAGAAAGTAGGGCGGAGCAGAAATTACTCGCGCTTGGCCTTTTGAAGTTCGAGGGCAATCACACAACGAGGCGAATGATCTAGCGGACTGCCTGGTCCGCGGGGGGCTAACCGGACGCCTTCCTGTCTGTGGGCTGAGCTTGCACAAGGACGTACTGCAGGGTACTGATTTCCTCAAGTGGCTGAGAAGACCCAGTCGTCCTCAGGAGCTAGACGGAAAGCAACATTTCTTCTGGAGGCAGGGCAGCAAGCTCTCCGTGTTTATTTGAGGCCTGTGACTAGGTAAGGTCGGAGACTGGCTGGCTCTCCCTTGCAGACGCAGCTCTTTATTCCATCTGAGTAGAACGGCCAGGTTTCATAGCTCAGGGCGTGAAGCAGCCGCCCTGGTGCAGGGAGTGGGGGCGCGGACGGAGAAGGATGGCCCCGGGGACACCGAGAATGGAGCCCCCTTCCACCGAGAAGATTCCTCAGGGTGCTGTGTTGTTCATTTCACTGCTCCACGCTGCGGGGTTTTATTTGGGAATTTTAAACAGACTGACTTAGCAGGAGGAATGTCATCTGTTACATCACTGACAAGACTTAAAAAAAAATAGAACTCACATCAATCATTGATTCAAGATTTCCTTTATTCTAATTATTTGCTGGCCTCAGACCAAATCCTGGGTCGTTGGCAAGATGACCTCATTTCTGGAAAAAAAAAATCTGGGGGTTGTAATATAGCTGATGAACTCCAAAAAGGTATTTGAAGGCACTCTCATGAGTTTCAATTCAAAGATATTTCTTAAGAATTTGCACGTGCAAAGCACAGCCTAGGCACAGCATGCTGAGAGGTGAGCATGGCATCTTGTCTGCACTCAAGGAATTTAAAGTCTCAGGAGGGGGAGGTGGAAATAAAACTGATCGAGAACACATATGTTAAGTTAGAGTAGGATGAGCACCATAAACACACACACACACACACAAGGATAGAGCTATGAAGTGTCAAGTGCAAAGGAGAGACTGACGATATAAGGTTGTGGAGAAAGCGAGGAAACCTTTGTGGCCCTTACAAGATGGATAGGCCACTAGACAGAGAGAGAATGCGTGATTAGTTCGAGTCCTCTCCCTCCTTCATCCCCCTCGACATGCCAGTCATGTCTAGGGAATATGAGCTGAGTTTGGTTGGAACACAGAGCGTGTGTAGGAAAGCAGAGTGATGTGGCCATATGTGTTGGTTTGGGGCATCAAGGTGCAGGATCTTGTGTTCCAGGAGGAGGTACTAGGGAGTCATTGATTGTTTCAAAGCAACAGAGTGATCAGAGCCACTCTGAGAGCTGGATGGATTGAAGTGGCAGTTGGCAGATGTGAATGAATGGATTAGGGGCCATTGCAGCTATCCAGGCTGAGATTAGGACCTGTAACAGTGCTGTGGGTGGGGCGGATAGAGGCAGTGAGATCAGAAGAGGGAATAGACAAATAGAATCTTTGGGAATTTGCAACTAACTGCCCAGGAGGTGTTTAGAGAGAAAGCCGGGTCTGAGATGACTTGGTGCCTTTTACCCAGATGACTCAGAGATCACCAATGTCATTGTCAGAAAGAGAAGAACAGGAGGAGGGTCTGTTTTTTTCAGATAATCCCGACAGAGATGCCAAACAGAAAGGTGGACATGCAAATTCACAGAGAATTTGAAAGTCTACTACCTGATGGGAATTGTTCCAGAGTCCTGTGAGCACAAGGAATGTGATGGGAAAAATAAAGGAAGCCTTGGTGCCCTTATCGAGGGGAAAATATTTTGTTAGAGGCAGAGAGAGAGAGAGAAAGGACACAGAAAGGGAGGAAGGCACAAGTGGTAGTAAGGCCTGCCTGCCTAGAGAGGAGCTTCAAAAAGAGGGGAGAACTGACCCAAGGTTGTCAAAAAATCGATAAATCAAGAAAGAAACTCAGGGGTCTACTTTTAGTAAGAAGAATCGATCCTCGGAGTAACATCTGTGAAAAAAAATACCCCCCAAACCTTAGGTCTCCATGCTGTTATCTTCCACAGAGAAAGTTTCTAGAAAAGAGCATTCTGTTTTAGTTTTCCTTCCGAGGAAGTGCTTCCATAATAAAAGCAGTAGTTGGTGTTTGCATAATACTTCATGCTGTCATTTATACAAATTAACTGGAATCACACCTCTGTAAAGCAGGTTTTATCATTGTCATCCCTTGGCAAAGGAGAACATTGGTACACAGAGGAGTAAAGTCACTTTCAAAAGGTCACTTGGCAGATTGGTGACAGAGCTTCCGTATGCCATGCAGTGTTACTAAGGACGATGGCCGTGCTGGCCATTGGAGCGCTGGACTCGTCTGCCCTGCATCTCTGCAGCCTGGTCCCCTCTGCCCGGCACCTCCCGTTCCCACACCCCGAGCCCCCGGCATACTCTCCACTTCCCGTTAGGTGGTGTTTTTAGATTCCACGTAAGTGAGGTCATGTACTGTTTCTCTTTTTGTGTCTGGCTTATTTCACTTTGCGGACTGTCTTCCAGGTTTATCTACGTTGTCACAAGTGGCAACATCTCCTTTGTTGAGTTGAATAATATTCCATTGAGATATATATATTCGTTATCACAGTTTCTTTGTCCACGTAGCATTTAATGGTCACTGTTGAGTCAAGTGGTGTAGTTTGATAACGTTTCTTTTTTAATTACTTGTTTTCCTTGGAGCAAAGATTTGTCTGATCTGTTCTTGGTTGCTTCTTTAGCTACATCTTCAGCCTCTGTGTGTATTTCCTGTACACATTCCTTTTAAAACCCTCTGACTTCTTTTGAATGGGATTTTCAATTACTGCTTTCCTTCAGGAAGCTTTTAGAAAAAAATAATTGTCTCTCTATTAGTGCTATTCTGAAATTGCAAGATAACATCCTTGGCATTGGTCTTCTTCAGTATGTGAGCGGGACATTTGATGAATCCTTTCACTGTCTGGGGATCATGCCCTGTGGTTCTGGAATGTTTTCATGTATTATTTCTTTTATTATTTCCTACCCACTATGTCCAGTCTTCTTTCTGGAATCCCTGTTATGGATGCTGGACCTCCTGAACCAACCTCTGTTTTTTTCTCTCTCCTCTTGTTTTCCAGTGCTTATCTTTCTGTTCTTTCTGAAATGTTTCCTCGACTCCATCTCCGGATTCTTCCACTGATTATTTTCCATTTGAGCTATTATATTTTTGCTGTCTAAGAGCTCCTTCTTGTCTTATGACTATTCCTTTTTATAGCATTCTTCCTGATTTCAAAAATCCAATATCTTTTAAAATATTTCTTAGGGGAGGAAGGATTGGGAGGTAATAAGCCTGGAGCTGTTATTCTGGAGATGGGCAGGGCCCCCTGGTCTTGGCTCCGCCCCCCGACCCCGGAGCCTGCACTCCCACAGCTAGAACGTCTCTCCCTATTTCTCCAGCTATTTCACAGCCTGTCTTTTTTTTTCTATTGATTATGCTGTTACAGTTGTTCTATTCCCCCCTTCATTCCCCTCCACCCTACCCCCCCATCCCCACCATTACCCTCCCTTTAGTTTATGACCATGTGTCTCAAGTCTTTAGATTCTATATTTCCCATGCTATTCTTGCCCCCCCCAATCTATTTTCTATCTACTGTCTGTGCTACTTATTTTCTGTACCTTCTCCCCCCATCTCCTCCTCCCACTCCCCTGTTGCTAACCCTCCTTGAGATTTTCATTTCTATGTTTCCACTCCTGATCTAGCTGTCCTTTTAGTTTGCTTTCGTTTTAGGTGTGGTTGTTAATAACTGTGAGTTTGCTGTCCTTTCACTGTTC